GGGCCGGAAGCGGAAGGAATCAAGCAGCCTGGGGGCAGCTTTCCGGAGCCATTCCAGCTGGTTGGGGGTGGAGAAGAGGTGTTCCCGCTGTTCCCAGGACACGAGAAGTCTGGCTTTGCCCATAGCTGGTGGCCAGGGAGGCCAGCAGTGTGGAGGCCTGGGGGGGCTCAATCAGCATGGAACAAGAGAGGGGGACAGGAAGGTAGCCCATCATGGGCCTGGCCATCCCCCTCTGAGGGCAATTTAGGGGCCACCTATTAGATCCAATTCCTGGGGCCTCAGCCCCACCCCAAGCAGTTTCTCCAAGGGCCCGCCGGCCTCCTCCAGCCCCTGTGGCTCCAGGGTGCTCAGACCCCACATGAGGTCTGGCCACCACCCAGCCGTGCTCTCTCTCTGGGTCTTGGTCCCTTATCTTTAAAATGGGGGTGTCGAACCTGGTGACTCGAGGTTCTTCGTGCCCCAACCTTCTGTGATTAGGTCACACACACACCCCTGCCTGCCCCCACCCCGGCCCGGGCAGGGCCCCCTGAGTAACCATAACCAAACCTGGCTGAGCTAAGAAATGCTCTGATCCCAGCTAAGAGGGGCCTTACTTTCAGCCTGGCCTCTCCCGGTGCTGAGCCCCAGCTTTGCACAGCTGTAGGGCGTGGGGGGCTTGTGGGGGCAGCAGAGGCCTGCTGGGACAGTCCAGGAAGTGAGCCCAGGGAGTTGCTCCAGCTGGGGTCACACTCCGTTCAACTCTCCTCACCAGTGAGGACCCTGCAGCCACTCCTGCCACCTGCTGGGCTGACAGCCCAGAGGTCCTGGAGGGTGTGACCTGTCCCGGTTTGCTTTTAGGGTCCCTCCCTGGGAAGATGGCCGACTACAGAAAGTGCATTGAAACTGTGATTGAGCAGCTGGACAAATTTAAACCTAAGAAGGACAGTCCCGAGCAGTTCCTGGAAGCCGCATCCACCTGCCTGCAGGTAGGGTCAGAGTGGTGCCTCGGGGCTCCTGGGAGGCTGGTCAGCAACACCTGTCAGGTAGCTATTTACTTCCCCAGAAAGGACATCGAATTCCTTCCTGACAGCTGCTCTCCCTCTTGGCGGGTCTGAGCTATCCAAATGCCTCCTGTCCTGTGTCTAATGTATTATACAATGGTGGCTGGCAGTGTTTCCACGGGCGCCCTCCCCTCTGCCCTGGGAGGTGTTCCTGGCCCCCAGAACGTGCGCCAGCCTGCTCTGTGACAAGAAACACTGGCAGTGGGGCCTCTTCCTCTTCCCAACCACACCTGGAGGAAATGAGGGACCGCCCTCGGGCTGGCCCTCCAGCCGCTTGGCCCCCAGGTGGCCTCTGTCCTTCTCTCGTCCACCATGGCCCACCCCATCTCATGTCCATCCAGAGATGGATGGGCTGGAGTCCCTGACCTGGGGCAGGAGTGGCGATGCCATCCTCTCAGGTCTGTCCTCATTCTAGCACCACAGCCCTCGGGGTCTCCCTGTCACCTGTGGCTCTGACCCCAGTCCATCTATCTCTCCATGGAGCAGGTGCCTGCACTGCAGGGGTCCCACCTCAGGCCCTGGGACCTGGGCCCCACTGGATGGCGCACGAAGAGAAGGCCTAGTCCACCTAGGGGAACGCTCCGGGGTTGCCACAGGGCCTGTGCCCACCAGTCACCACCAGCAGCCGGGAGAACACCCACGCCAGCTGGAAGGGCGGCTGCTGTGGCCAATGCATTCCTAACGTTGTTTGCCTTCATTGCCAACTGCACCGGCGTGTTGCTTTAACAGGGCCTAGGAGTGCTTGTGGCCCCTTGGGAGGCGGCCCCTGCCCCCTTCCTGCTCAGGTGTGGCCTCTGCTGTGCTCCCTGGGGGAGGGTGGGGGCTTATCCTCCTACCTCAGCAGCCTTGTGGTGCGGCAGCCAGAAAGGCTTGGGGGTGGGGTGGGTAGGCGGTCACTGTCCTGCAGGAGCGGCCCAGGGCCCTGGGCAGTGGACTATATAGGGCTGGAGGGGTTCCAGGGACCTGAGAGAGAAAGCTGGAGACCCTGACCCAATTCGGACTAGGTGTGCACTTCCTCCCCACCCCTCTGCACCCCACCCTCGAACTCTTTCCCTGAGAACCGAAGCATTTTGGGGAAATGATGAAAACGACAAAGGGCCAGGCTCATCTGCAATCCTTCTTTGCCCCAGCTGAAAGGCACCCAACACCCTCACGCAGCTCAGCACACCCCCATTCCTGCCGCCTGCCTGCTTAGTGCCGGCCTGCAGCCCAGCCCGCTGGCCGCTCCAGGGGGTGCCCCTTGCAGCTCCCTCTGGCTGTCAGTCAGCAGTCTTTTAAAAAATTTCCTCTGGACCCCAAGATCCTGCAGCTCCGACGTCTCACCTTATATTTCCAAAGGGACCCCAGGGCATCTTGCTCTCTCTCAGCTCTCCCCACTGCTCAGGCAAAAGTAGTAATGTGTTTATTTCTCAGTAATAACCATGACAGAAAGTTAGGTTTGTTACAGCAAATCACGTAGGGGATTTTCCCCCACCGCCAATGGATTATTAATGGTAAATGAGTCCCAGTTGTCACCTGGTGAACCCAGCGTGATGACAGTAATGTGCGTCTCTGTAGGGAGGTAGCCCATCACACTGATCCCCCCAAACCAGCAGCACCCCAACTCTGAGGTGGGCGCTATGCTCACAGCAGACACGAGGCAGCTTCTTGTCAGCTTCATGTCGGAGGCACTGGTCCCTTCAGATCTTTTCAAAAGTGCCTGGTACATCCAGGCAGGATGGTGCAGGGGACGTTTACCGTTTCGGATGTCGCAGATTTATCTCCAGCTGTCAAAATCGGCACGGTTTTGTTAGGCCAGGTTCGAGACTGCCAATGGCACACAGAGTGATGGGCAATCTGGGGAAGGGCAGGGTCGTGGGGTTCAGTTGTACCCACAAAAAGATATGTTGAAGTCCACACTCCTACTTACCTGCGAATGTGACCTTATTTGGAAATGTCACCTTTGCAGATGTAATTAAGAATCTCAAGATGAGATCATCCTTGATTTAGGGTGAACCCCAAATCTAATGCCTAGTGTCTTAAGAGGGAGATTTGGACACACACCCACAGAGAGGAGAACGCCATCGATAACACAGACGCAGGAAGAAGGCCGTGTGACCACAGAGGCAGGGACTGGACGATGCAACCGCCAGGCCTGGTGTGACTCTTCCTCTGACTCCGTAACGAGGAACCACCCTCGACACCTCAGTTTTGGACTTCTGGCCTCCAGAATTGTGAGCGAATTCTGGTGTTTTCAGCCGCAAAGTTTGTGGTCATTTGTTACAGCAGCCCAGGATAGTCCTACAGCCTGGGTAGGATGGAGGGGTCAGGCCAGGACACCCAGAGAGGCTGCCGAAGTGCTGGGTCCTGGGTACCAGGTGCAGAGGAG